TAGATCATCATTTCTCAGCATGCCGTCAGCCCTGGAGCCTCGGGAGCCCCTTCCAGGCCAGCTCCCCTCCCACAGTGGCTCCGTCTGGGGGAAGATGGGGGTCTCCATGGCGGCCATTCCTGCCTCTGCTTCCTCCTCCTCCTCCTCATCACCATCATCACGCCATCACCCTAGGGGCAAAGACTAAACCCTCCTCACATGAGTGCATCCCCTGTCTTCCTTCCAACCTGCTCCCTGCAGGGGAAACAAGCAGGAGCAAGGCTGCTGGGCACCCGAGGGGGAGGGCCTCTGCTAAGAGACCTGGTGTTTTCTTGAACTGGCTCCCTCTCATCTTCCCCAGGACCAGACCCCTTACTGTCAAGTCAATGGAATGAGGCCAGCCTGCTTCCCTCAAAAAAGGGCGCCCTCTCATTTGGGGCATCACCCCCAGAAGTACTGAGGAGCAGTGCTTGGAACCCCCCACAGCCATAGTGTCCATCTGGGGCCTGAGTTGGGAGCCCAGCCTGAGTCCAGAGCCAGTGGGGCAATGCTCAGGTATGGCCTTGGAGAATGGGACTGGGATGAGGGGTCGCCCCCAATCACGGTTTTCCAGCCTATTTCTTTGCATGAGCTGCTTTTTCAGACAACCAAACGGTTCCTCGCCCTTCAACATTACTTCGTTTTCTTTTCAGAGATTCGGGGGAAACACAGAAGACAGTTGAAATAAAGTTACTCTAATGTTAGTGGGAACCTGGACAGCCTAATTGGCCTCTCTGAAAGGGGTTCAGCAGCTCAGGGGAGTGCAGTGGGAGTGGGTCTCCAGACAGGGGACCCCCATTTCATCCTTGGAAAGCAAGGGTGTGGCCTGGAGAGGTGCTGGGTGACAGGACGAGGCCCTTCCCTCTCCACCCAAGCATCTGGCTGCCCTCAGTGACCCCTGAGGCCATCATGACATGCACTCATGTTCCTGTCTTGGTTGGTCATGTGACATGGACATCCCTAATCACTCCACCCCACGAGCACAGCACGTTTGAAATGCCCTTGGTCTGCAATGCCCATTCTGCTGTGTCCATGGTTCCAGCTCAGTGTGGCTTTGCTGTCCCCCAAGTGTAACTCCTTTGAGGGGCCATGAAGTTCCAGCATCAGGAAATAATAAAAATATTGCCTAATCTAGTGATTAAAATAAAACACACTTTAGACCGTGAAACCTTTTCTTCAAGCAAACTGTTACACGGAGACCCAAAATGTCAAGCAGAAAAAAGGGTTGAGTGGAGTCCTCTACTCAAGACTCCACTGGCCAAGGTATTGGTCCCTCCAAGAGAGTCCGTCCCTGATGCCCCCTGAGCCCCGGGAAGCTCCCTGCAAAACTCCAGTCCCGCAGCCTCACTGACCAGTGGGGACACTGGGAGGGAGACAATGGCGTGATGGGCACAAATCTAGCAAATGGAACATGGTTTAGAGTCTGGGCGTCCTTCCCTCCTCTCAGGAGGGGGCGCTGTGAGGGGCTGGGTCTGCCTTCCCAAAGGGCACGAGTCCCAGCCCCTACTGGGATTTCTTCCAAATACCCCTGGCACTTCCACGTGGGAATTCCTTCCTAGCATTTCTTAGACAATTCAATGGTTTCCCAAATCCCAAGTCTCAAGAAAATTCAGTTGAGAGACTGGGAAACTGGGGAACAGAGTTACAATTTTCCTGGAGGAATTGAAGTTTAACAGTCATCAGAGAGATGATACTTATTTAAAGTAACCCAATGACATGGAGAGCAAGGGCCGGAGAGATTTTCAACATGGAGGTCAAAGTTAAGATCAGCATGTTGGGGAATCCGGGAGGGAGGACGCAGGAAAGAAGAGGTCACAGTCCATGGGACTGAAGTCTCTGCCATGGTCAGGGCCCCATCTGCTGCTTAGTAAATGTTTGTGAGTTTGTATATACTGCCTGTTTTGTACAAATCATATTGATGTGTCAAGAAATATGTTTTGGCTTCCTGCCAAGATGGAGGCATAGGTAGACACACTGTGCCTCCTCGCACAACCAAGATAGGGAGAACAACAATTTAGAAACAGATACCAAACAGAACTCACAGAAAATTGAACTGTATGGAAGTCAGACAACCAAAAAGTTAAAATAGACACGTTCATCCAGAGCCGGGGAGCAGAGCACTGGGCGAGGCAGGGAGAGCAGAGAGCTTTGGGCCCGGGTGCCTAAGGCATCCAGGCTGCGCAAGACCACAGCGGGGGGACCCTGGGTGAACAAGGGGCGGCTGGAAGACCCCAGCTGAGGCGTGGCAACCCGCAGACCCAGCAAGGCAGCGATTGTGAAGCAAAGCACTGCGTGCAACCCAGGATCCCAGCACTGGGAAATAGAGGCTCGGGGCCCTGATTGAAAACACCTGTGGGGGCTGAGGCGCAGGGAGAGACTCCCAGCCTCACTGGAGAAGTCGTTGGAAAGACTCACAGGGTACACAAGCCCACCCACATGGGAATTGGCACCAGAGGGGCCCAGTTTGTTCAGGGGAAGCGGTGGAAGGGACTGAGGTCCCAGGGAGAGCGGAGCAGGTGCCATTGTTCCCTCTGGGGCTCCACCCCCACGTACAACCTCACAAACCAGCGCCATTGTTCCCTCTGGGACCTCGCCCCCTCACACAACATCAGAACCCAGCAACTGGGGTGCCCTGCCCTGGTGAACACCTAAGGCTATGCCCCTCAAACATAACAGACTCGACCAGACCAAAGGGAAAAAAAAAGAAAAAGATGCTCAAACAGAATTAAAACCCCCACCGTCAATACTTTTAAGTGACCAAGAGATACCCAACCTAGCAGATGCACAGTTCAAACCACTGGTGATCAGGATGCTCACAGAATTGGTTCATTTTGGTCGCAAATGTGATGAAAAACTGAAGGCTACAATAAGTGAAATGAAGAAAAATGCACAGGGAACCAATAACGATGGAATGAATGCTGGGTCTCACATAAATGAAATGGGCCAGAGGGAAGAAAGATACAATCACACAGAAAATAATGAAGAAATAAGAATTTTAAAAAATGAGGAGAGGCGTAGGAAGCTCCAGGACATCTTGAAACATTCCAACATCCAAATTATAGGGGTACCAGAAGGAGAAGAGGAAGAGCAACAAGTGGAAAACTTATTTGAACAAATAATAATAAAGGAGAACTTCCCCATTCTGGCAAAGGAAATAGACTTCCAGGAAGTCCAGGAAGCTCAGAGCATCCCAAACAAGTTGGACCCAAGAAGGAACACACCCAGGCACATCATAATTACATTAGCCAAGGTAAAAATGAAGGAGAGAATCCTAGAAACAGTAAGAGACAAGGAGACAGTAACCTACACAGGAGTTCCCATCAGACTGTCAGCTGATTTCTCAAAAGAGACCTTGCAGGCAAGAAGGGGCTGGAAAGGAGTATTCCAAGTCATGAAAGGCAAGGACCTACATCCCAGATTGCTCTATCCAGCAAAGCTTTCATTTAGAATGGAAGGGAAGATAAAGTGCTTCTCAGATAAGGTCAAGTTAAAAGAGTTCATCATCACCAAGCCTATATTTCATGAAATGTGAAAGGGACTTATTTAAGAAAAAGACGATTAAAATAACATGTATAGTAAAATGACAGCAAACTCACAAGTATGAACAACAACACCTTAAACAAAAACAAAAAGAAACTAAGCAAACACCAAGAACAGGAACAGAACGCAGAAACGGAGATCACAAGGAGGATTACCAACAAGGGAGTGGGAGAGGGAGAGAGGGATGAAAGGTACGGAGAATAAGTAGCATAGATAGTAGGTAGAAAATAGACATGGGGAGGGCAAGAATAGTATGGGAAATGTAGAAGCTAAAGAACTTATGACACATGGACATGAACTAAAGGGGGGGAAATGTGGGTGGGAGGGGGTGTGCAGAGGGAAGGGGAATGAAGGCAGGGTAATGGGACAACTGTAATAGCACAATCAATAGAATATGTTTTCAAAAGAAATAAGTTTTGGAAGTAAAGTAAGTCTTTAAATTGGCAATTTCGACTTGCTGAGAGATGTGAATCTGATGTTATTTGAACAATAACGTTCACAGACACTGCCCAGAGTTTGAGTCATTGCTACAGGTGACAGCTCTTTACCAATAACCTAACAGAAGAAACACTAACAGAAAAGATGTAAATGCCATGGACCACTGGGAGATGAAACCAGAAACATTCACTAATTTGAATATAAAATGTAAACTAGTAAAAGCAATAATATTGTAACAGAAACCAAAGTCAGAACAAGCGCACATACATGTCCATCATTTAAAAACAAAGTGAGTTCAGCCCTGGCTGGAAGGCTCAGTTGGTTGCAGAGCGGCCCCACACGTCAAAAGGCTGTGTGTTCAATCGCTGCTAGGGAGACATAGGTAGGCAATCAATTGAACAATTCAACTTTGTCTCTGACATCAATGTTTCCCTCTCTTTCTCTCAAATCAGTAAACATAGGATCACTTGAAGTTTTTAAAAAATACAGTAAAATAAAATATGGCCACTCTTGCTTACCATAAACAAAAAGTTGACTAGGTATTCCCTCCACAAGAAGGATTCATTTGGAGAAAAGTAAGCATCACAACCTGGTGCTTGCAGACATGACATTCACACACAGAGAGCAAGAAGAAGGAGGGAGCTGCTTTACAAGGGGAAGAACAAGTTCCCCAGAGAGCTCTCTGGTCCACCTGCTCTTCTCCCTGTAGCACTTCCACGACCCTCAGAGGATGGGACAACTCCTTCCATGGGGTCCCTGACTCCTGTCCTGGCTGAGGCCTCTGTCTGAGATTTTGACACTTCTGCCTGTATCCATTGGGCAGCTGAGAAAACCCCAAGTCATCATTGCCCTCGACTTCCTGCTGTATTCCCAACTTGTTCCCTTCTCAGAAATATCAAGTTGCCAACTGTATAGTCAAGGAGCATTCTGCTGACCTCTGCCCTCTGACTTCCTGATTTTCCTCCCCTTATAAACACCAGGGCAGGGCTGGGGTCCCAGGGAGTCAGGAGCAGAGAGCCCGGGAGCACTCAGGCCACCTCTGCCCGCACGCCTGGAAGATGAAGATCTTCGCAGCTGCCTTCCTCTTCCTCATCTTTGCTGCTGCCCTTGGACCCCCAGCCCAGGCATCCCAAGATGGTCAATCCCTACCCCAGGATCGTGGTAAGTTCAGTGGGTCTTCGCCCTGGTGGCCAGTTCGATGATGAACTGAAGTCCAGGGAGGAGACACAGAGGGCCTTGGAGGTGAAGTTGGCACTTGCTTAAAAGCAGCAGCAGGAGGGTGTGGACCTTTCCCTGTGGCCTTTGGTCCCTGAGGAAAAGTGTGCACAGATGACTTGGGAAACAATTCTCTTCCTTTTTCATGGCCAGAATTTTCTGACACCTTATCTTACCTGATGTGGCACCATTATGTGCTTGAGCAAAAGAGCTGTAGCAAATGGTGAACTTGGGAAAAGAACCATATTCGCCTTCGATGTTAGAACTAGCATATCCCACGTAGTGCAAAACTACCAATTGGAAAAGGAGATAGGACAAGCTAGGCCAGTGACTCCCCCAAGTCCCCCTAACCATTCTACTGATTTACTAACAAATGAATATCTAACACTGCCTTGTACAAGCAGAAACTACTCTAATCGTCTTATAGATATTAATACACTGAATCCCCCAAACAACACTGTGGAATAGACTATCAGCAACTGGCATGGTTTTGAGTATTATTTTTTCATAGACTTTATTTATTTACTTATAGAGAGACTGGAAGGGAAGGAGAAAGAGAAGGAGAAAAACATCACTGTGTGGTTGACTCTCAAGTGACCTCTACTAGGGACCTGGCTGACAACCCAGGCATGTTCCCTGACTAGGAATCAAACCAGTGACCATTTGGGTCTCAGGCCCATGCTCAATTCACTGAACTACACCAGCCAGAGTGGTTTTGTGTACTATTATTAGTCTCAATTTACACATGGGAAAGTTAGGAAGAAAAGTCTTAGATTACTTGCTCAGATCCTACAGCCAGTGAGTGGTGGAGTTGGGATATGATCGAGCTATGAAGCTGTAATGAAAAGTAAATAAGTCCATTTAAGACTGTATTTTGCCAGCCCCACATGCAGCATATCAAGCACACCAGAGGGTACGCACGTGCCTCATTAAACATAACTCACATGTAACTGCATAAGAAACAAGCCAACAGTTCACTGCGTTCGCCTACCTAGCATAATGCAGGCCTGCAATCCCTTGCCCAGAACACAGGGGCTAGGTGCACTTTGGAATACAGAGTCTTTCAGGTTCAAAAAGGGGATACAATATCACTAGAATTCCTATTCTGAGTACCCACCCAATAGAAGGGAAGCAGGTACCTGGGAGCTGCCGGTACGCCCATGCTAACAGCTCCATCATTTCTAACACACCATGAGGGGAAGCACCCCAAGTATCCATCCACAAATGAATGGATTCAAAGTGGGGAATATGTTGTACACACAGTAGAATATTATTCAGCCCAAAAGGACAGAAACTGGGACACATGCTACCCACACGGAGGGAACAGTGAGCACAGGTCTGCACCCGACGTTAGGATGAGTGAGATGAGCCAGTAACGAAGGGTGAACACTGTCTGATTCCGCTGACAGGAGGCACTGAAAGCAGCCGACTCAGAGAGACAGAGAGTAGAATGGCGGTGGCCGGGGGCTGGGGGACGGGGGTGCGGAGTCACCGTCTAGTTGGGTCAGAGGTGCAATTTTATAAGACGCATAAAGCCCCGTGGACAGTCTGTGGTTAGAGCTGTACAATATGGGAATGTCCTTCATGCTCCCAAACTGTGCATTGGGAAAGGGTTAATATTTGATCACTCTGGTCTACAGTACACAGCTTCTGTTCTTCCTCTGAGCCTGAAAGAATTGTGACTGTTCTTATGGCTTTGCTGGCATTTAGCCTGGTCCCATCTGAGGGGCAACCTCCTTGAGAGTCCCCACCAGGAGACTCTGTTGAACGAATGAATGTCTCTTTGCTATTCATTCTGCTGATAACTATGGGGAGTGATAAAAGTATGTTCCAAGTTGTGAATGCATGAAACACAGAGTTTATTCTTGTATTGATCTTTCTTAATTATTGTACTTTTTTCCACACAAACCCCTGTACACCACCTCTGCCCCACCCAGCATGTACTGAGTGGGTCCCTGTAGGGCAGGGAGTCAGAGCTCTAAGAAAGAAAAGTAGGTCAAAATTGTAAAGTTTATATTATGTGTATTTTACCATGTTGAAGAAATAAAAATGTTCTTAAAAGGTAACACATAACTGGACATTACTTAACATTTCTAGCAGACTCTGGGAAGCATACTGGAATCAAACAGTAACATGTCTGCAGCAAACACAACAAATCTTCATACTAATGGGACAAAGGCTATAAATAGCCTCACTTCACTTTGGGTGACACTGTGCCACCAAATCCCTTAATGAAACATCTTTCTGTCTCCAGAGCCCAGTGGGTCCCAGAAATGTGCAGAAAGCATGTTGTGGACTATGTCACATGGTGTGGCCATGTGACTGATTTATCCAGGTGGCATTAGTGATTTGCTTTTTGTATTTAGAGTCAATAAAAAAAGGAAGTCAATAGAACATTTTCATGGCTCAAACATTTCAGCAGTTCCCTCAAATTTCTCAGGGCACCCGTGAGACAACTGGCCGGGAGGCAGGCCCAAAACTCGAACGGGTGTCCAGTGTCTAGCAGCAATGCCGCCCCACCCCGGGGCTGGGCTGGGGTGACACAGGCAGAGATACCGACACAGCGCTGCCTCCCAGTGATTGCTCTTCCCTCCTGTCCCTTTCTCCCAAAAGAATTCAGGTTGGGGATACAAGTGGGGACTCGTGTCGTGACTCAGCGTAAACGGTAAATGTTTAGTTGTGGCATGTATATATAAGCAGCTGATGGGCATGGGCCTACTCAGCGGCTTCAGTCCTCCTTGTTTACAGGACATGGGGAAAGGGGGAGGGGACATCTCCAAGGGAGACCAGGGTGCCCTGTGGGTCCCTCCCCATACCCGAGCTCTCTCCCACCTGGCTGTCCTGCAGTCTGCTGACCTTGGGGAGGTGGCACTCTCTGATGCCTCCTGCAGCATCGGACCTTCCACTTCTGGGAGGAGTGGTCCTGGCCCTGCCTGGGTGCACAGCTCAGCCCTGGGTGGGGGAGCAAGGAGATGCCAGCAGGTGCTGCAGAGGAGGAAATCACCCCTTTATAGTTCTTCCCCTTCACACCCTCAGTACTCTGGACAAAAGGGGGAAAGGATGTAGTTTTTTTGTTGTTGTTGTTTTTTGTTTTTTGTTTTTTGTTTTTCACAAAGAGACTCAGTCCTTATGTGGACCTTTCTGCTACTACAGGCGTGCATCGTCCCATTGACTGCTGCTTCCAACGTGCTGACATAATCCAATGCAGAAACATGAGAAGTTACTATAGAACAGGCAGAGGTTGCCTCCGGCCTGCTGTCATGTAAGTGGCAAGGGTACCGGCTATGACTTGGGGTGGGGATCTGATGACAGAGGGAGGTCCAGAAAATTCTCAGCCTCTAGATGCTTCGAAGTCAGGTGAAACCTGTGTCGTCACTGAGAATCCCAAGAGCATCAGACACGAGATGCCCCCAGGGAAGAGGGAGGCCAGGGAGGGGAGGGGGAGCAGGAGCAAGGCTGCCCCAGGACACGCCCCTGACTCACTGAGGGGGTGTCAGAGGCAGGGTCTCCCAGAGGAGACCCCCTGAGACCCTGCAGGAGATAAGGGAGGAACAGGATGGGCTGAGTGGGGAAGCCCAAGGGCCAGGGGGATGGGGCTCCCCGTCCTTATGTGCAGAAGCCTCCTCCCCGTCTAATCTTTCTCTCCTTTTCTCCCCAGCTTCAAAAACAAGTGGGGGCAAAAGGTGTGTGCCAACCCCCAGAGTAAGGCAGTTAAGAATTGTATCAAAAAGCTGAACTGAATCAAGAAACAGAGAAAAACAGTTGCTTGAGAAGAAGGAATGCTGGATGCCATGCAGCCTCCTCCACTCTCTCACCTTCTGGGAGTTTCTTGGCCTGAATTCTTTTGTCTAAAGCAACAATTATTGTTCTGTTTGTTGCACCAATAAAAAGTATCCAATTTAACTGCACTTGAACTGTAAGTGGAAGATGGAACATAGGAATGGCTGAGCTTTGGATGTGTGTGCTTTTCTAAATGAGACATCATGGAATCCTGTGTAAGCAGGTAAACACGTGACTCATGCAGGTACAGATGGAGATTGTGTCCCAGATGTACTGAACCCACTAATGAGGGACCATAAAACTGATTCTAAGACCATCTGAGGAGTAGAGCTTTACCCGGTTAGTTAGGAATGACATTCTGAAACTTCTAGAAAAACAGACTAATATCCAAGATTGCAATATAACTGTAACTTTTGGATTTTCTTTTCTACTGGACAAAACCACTTGCATCTGCTCTAGATGCAAAAATTGCATCTAAAAATTGGTAAATTAGCAGATAACCTCAGAAAGTCTGGGGCCTGATCCAGAGTAAATAGAACATCAATCGAAAGTGCATTTCCCAAGGACAGGTAAAGTGCTTCCCAGATAAGGCGAAGTTAAAGCAGTTCATCATCACCAAGCCCTTATGCTATAAACTGTTAAAGGGACTTATCATAAAAAAGAAGATCAAAACTAGGAACAGTAAAATGACAACAAATTCACAACTATAAAAAACACAAACAAAGTAAGCAGACAACTAGAACAGGAAGAGAATCACAGAAATAGAGATCACATGGAGGCTTCTCAGAGTGGAGGGAGAGCAGGAAGAATGTCGGGGAAAGGTGCAGGGAATAAGAAGCCTGAATGGTAGGTAGAAAATAGACAGGGGGAGGTTACAGACAGTATAGGAAATAGAGAAGTCCAAGAACTTCTGTGTACGTCCCATGGACAAGAACTAAGTTGGGGGGACAGAGGGGATGCTAGTGAGAGGGGGGGTACAGGGCAGGTGAGCCTAAAGGGGAGAAAAAATGGGTCCACTGTAATAGCATAATCAATAAAATATACTGACAAAGATAAGAAGGTAACCCAATCACATCAAGAGCAACAGCTGGAAATTTTGACACAGGGAGGACAAAGTTAAGAATAGCACTTTGGGGAATCAGGGTGGAAGGACGCAGGAAGGAAGAGGTCACGGTCCAGCAGTCTGTAGAGCTTGCCACATTTCAAGTGTGAGCTCATGGCCCCATCCACAGCTACATAGCAAGTTTAGTGAGTAGTGATGTTAGTGAGTTTGTGTATTTAGCTGCTTTATACAAATCATATTGATGTTTCAACAAGTCCATGTGGGGAGTAAAGTAAGTCCTTAAACTGGCAATTTCAAATGCTGGGAGAAGTGAAACTGATGTTATTGGAACAATAATGTTCACGGACACTGCCCAGAGTTTGAGTTATTGCTACAGGCTAGAGGTCTTTACCAAAGACCTAACAGAAGAAACACTAAGAGAAAATACAAATGCCATGGAATGCTGGGAGATGAAACCAGAAACATTCACTAACTTCTCTATAAAATCTAAACTAGTAAGAGCAATGTTAATTTGAATGGAAACCAAAGTCAGAACAAGCACACAATACAGGTCCATCATTAAACACAAAGTGAGCTCAGCCCTGGCTCCAGGGCTCAGGTGGTGGGAGTGCCGCCCCACACGTCAAAGACTGCGTGTTCCATCCCCAAGTGGGACACGTAATGTAGGCAATGGATTGAAGTTTCTGTCTCACATCAAACGTTTCTCTCTCTCTCTCTCTCTCCCCTTCTCTCTCTCTCCCTCTCTCTGTCTCTCAAGTCAGTGAACATATGATCAATTCAGATTTTTTAAAAAATAAATAAAATAAAACAAAATATAGTCACTCTTGTCTACCATAAACAAAAACTCGACTACCTATTCCCTCCACAAGAAGGATTCATTTCAGGAAAAGTAAGCATGGCAATCTGGTGCTTGCAGACATGACTTTCACACACAGAGAGCAAGAAGAAGCAGGGAGCTGCTTTACAAGGGGAAGAACAGTTCCCCAGAGAGCTCTCTGGTCCACCTGAACTTCTCCCTGTAGCACCTCCACGACCCTCAGAGGATGGGAGAGCTGCTGCCACAGGGTCCCCTGACTCCTGTCCTGCCTGAAGCCTCTGACTGCAAATGTGACACTTCTGCCTGTATCCATTGGGCAGCTGGAAAACCGCAACTCATCATTGCCCTCGACTTCCTGTTGCATTCCCAGACTTGTTTAATTCGTAGAAATATGTTGCCAACTGTATACCCAAGGAGCATGCTGCTGACCTCTGCCCTGTGACTTCCTGATTCTCCTTCCCTTATAAACTCAAGGGCAGGGCTGGGGTCCCAGGGAGTCAGGAGCAGAGAGCCCGGGAGCACTCAGGCCAGCTCTGCCCGCACACCTGGAAGATGGAGATCTCCTCAGCTGCCCTCCTCTTCCTCATCCTTGCTGCTGCCCTTGGACCCTCCACCCATGCATCCTCGGCCCATGGTGAGTTCAGTGAGTCTTTGCACTGGTGGCCTGTACCATGGTAACCCGAGTCCAGGGAGCAGACACAACGTGGAGTGGAATTTGGCACTTGCTTAAATGCAGCAGCAGGAGGGTGTGGACGTTTCCCTGTGGCCTCTGGTCCCTGGGGAAAGTGTGCACAGATGACTTGGGAAACAATTCTCTCCCCTTTTCATGGCCAGAATTATCTCACGCCTCATCATAGCTGATATGGGGCCATTATGTACTTGAGCAAAAGAGTTGTAGTAAAATTGTGAACTTGGGACAAAAGCACAGTCACCTCTAGAACTAGGGTACCCCATGCAGTGCAAAAGTATCATCTTGTAGGGGAGATGGGACACCCCAGGGTAGTGACTCACCCAAGTCCCCCTAACCATTCTACTGACTTACTAACAAATGAGTATCTAACACTGCCTTGTACAATCTGCCCTGTCCCAGCAGAAACTACTCTATTGTCTTATAGGTATTAATACACTGGATCCTGCTATCAACACTCTGCAATAGACTACCAGCAACTGCCCATGCATTTGAATATTATATCCTTTTTTAAGATTTTATTTACTTACTTCTAGAGAGAGAAAAAGGGAAGGAGAAAGAGGAACAAAAACATCAATATGTGGTTGCCTGTCATGTACTTGGGACCTGGCCCCCAACCCAGGCATGTGCCCTGAGTGGGTTTCAACCCTTTGGTTTGCAGGCCCACATTCCACCCACTGAGCTACACCAGCCAGGGAGGTTTTGCATATTATTATTATTATTAGTCTCATTTTACACATGGGAACCTGAGGCACAGAGGCCTTAGATAACTTGCTCAGATCCTACAGCCAGTGAGTGGTGGAGTTAGGGTATGATCAAGCTAGGAAGCTGTTCTGAAAAGTTAACAAGTCCATTTAAGACTTTATTTTGCCAGCCCCTCATGCATCATATCAAGCACACTGGAGGGTACGCATGTGCCTCATTACACATAACTCATATGTAACTGCATAAGAAATGAGCCAACAGTTCAGCGCGTTTGCCTAACTAGCATAATGCAGGCCTGCAATCCCTTGCCCAGAACACTGGGGCTGGATGCACTTTGGAATGCAGAGACTTTCAGGATTGAAAAAGGGGATACATTGTCACTGACAACTCCATTTCTGTATGCACACCCAATAGAACCGTAAGCAGGTACGTTGGAGCTGCTGGTACGCCCATGCTAACAGCCGCATCATTCCTAACACACTATGGGGGGAGGCACCCAACTATCCATCCACAAATGAATGGATTCAAAGTGGGGGATACATTGTACTCACAGTAGAATATTATTCACCCAAAAAGGACAGAAACTGGGACACATGCTACCACATGGAGGAACAGTGAGCACAGGTCTGCACCCGACGTTAGGATGAGTGAGATGAGCCAGTAACGAAGGTGAACACTATCAGATTCCACTGACAGGAGGCACTGAAAGCAGTCGAGGAGTCAGAGAGACAGAGAGTAGAATGGCGGTGGCTGGGGCCTAGGGGACGGGGGGGTGGGGGAGGTCACTGTCTAGTTGGTTCAGAGGTGCAATTTTACGAGATGAATAAATCTCGTTGACAATCTGTGGTTAGAGCTGTACAATATGGGAATGTCCTTCATGCTCCCAAACTGTGCATTGGGAAAGGGTTAACATTTGGTGACTCTGGTCTACAGTACACAGCTTCTGTTCTTCCTCTGAGCCTGAAAGAATCCTGACTGTTCTTCTGGCTTTGCTGGCATTTCCTCCTTGTCCTATCTGATGGGCGAGCCCCTCAGAGTCCCCCCCAGGTCTCTTTGCCCATTCATTCCCACTGATAACTGCGGGGGGTGAGGAGAGTGTGTGCACAGTTGTGAGTGCACAAAACACAGAGTTTATTCTTGTATTGTTATTTCTTAATTACTGCACTATTTTCCACACAAACCCCTGTACACCCACTTCTGCCCCACCCTGCATGTACTGGGTGGGTCTAGATCCCTGTAGGGCACAGAGTCAGAGCTACAGGACAGAAAAGTAGGGTCAAAATTGTACATTTTGTATTATGCATATTTGAACACATGTTCAAAAAATAAAAATATTTTTCAAAGTTAACACAGAACTAGACATTCCTAATAGTCCTGGCAGACTCTGGGAAGCATACTGGAATCACACTATAACATTTCTGCAGCAAACACCACAAATCTTCATACTAATGGGACAAAGGCTATAAATAGCCTCACTTCACTTTGGGTGACACTGTGCCACCAAATCACTTAATGAAACATCTTTCTGTCTCCAGAGCCCAGTGGGTCCCAGAAATATGCAGAAAGCATGTTGTGGACTATGTCACATGGTGTGGCTGTGTGACTGATTTATCCAGGTGGCATTAGTGATTTGCTTTTTGTATTTAAAGTCAATAAAACAAGGAAGTCAATAGAACGTTTATATGGCTCAAATATTTTCACCAGTTTCCTAAAAATATCTCAGGGTACCAGTGAGACAACTGGCCAGGAAGCAGACCCAAAACCCCCATGGGCACCCAGTGTCCAGCAGAAATGCCGCCCCACCTGGGGGTTAGGCTGGGGTGACACAGGAAGAGATACCAACACAGCGCTGCCT